TTTTTTTTGGTTCAGATATTTTTATCACAGCACACAGAAAAAAACGGCAGTAATTTGAAAAAAAAAAATCTTTTTGTTAAGACTATGTTTGGAACATTCTGTGATATTTGCGCAGTAACCGGCTATCCTGCTTATAACATCATCATCATCATCATCATCATCACATATGTTATTTCGACACCAATTTCTTGAATTCAAAGGTGTTTGAGTTTAATTAAAAACCAGTTTTGTCGTAAGAATAATCAGTCGCTCCGTTAAAGATGAGTTCGTTTCTGTCGATAGCCGTACCCACTCTAAAATGAGCTGGGATTTGAACAGAAAATGTTCTTTGAAGATGGTTAAAAATCGGACCCGCTCTAAAATGAGCTGGGCGTTTCATCGTCGTCGCCTTCTTTGCCTTCGTTTCACAGCCATTGGATTTTCTATGCTTCTGAAGGCGTCATAAAAGTCCTTAGCAAGTTCGCGCACGCCATTTGCTGTGGGGTGAAGACCATCTGCGCAAACATGCCTCCGATAGCTGAACTTTACAGTTTTAAAGAGCGGGATTTTATACCATGCCGTTAGATTTCTGTAGCATTTATTCACTCTCCTGATAAGAGAGCGTTTACCTTCCCGGCTAATAAGTGACATGACGCCAACTTCAAAATTGCAGTCAAGGAGTCTAAAAATAGCACTCTCCATCTCCTCGGCTACTTCAGTCGCTCCCAATGACTGGCGCCCTGAACGGTCAAACAGGTTGTTTGTTCCTCCCATTATGAGCACTGTTTGTACATCCAAGTTTTTAATATCATTGAGAACCTGATCGCTACAAAGGGTTGAGAGAGTTCCACCAGGGCACGAAACTGTCACGGAATCTGGCAGGAAAATCCCATAAACTAGCGATGATCCCAAAACAGCATATGTCACTCTCTTGATCTTATCAGAGCTCAATATTATCCGTCTTTTGGGGAGAAACCTGGTTTCAACATGAACATTTCTTAGACGCAAGGTTTCGTTTAGCTTTTGAATTCCAACTTTTCTAGTTTCAGTCATTTTAGCAACCTTTAACTGAAACAAGTCTCATAGTAATACTGGTTAAACAAATACGTTTTCAACTGTTTACGAAATTCAGTTTCATTTGGTAGTTTAAGGTTACATGGTAAACTATTCCAATGGTGTGCGGCAGCAAACCTAAACGTCCTTTTTCCATAGTTCGTGTTAACCAGTGGTTTCTTAATGACCATGGTCCTTTCACTGAAACGGGAGGAACTTTTTTGTAGTGAAAAATATTTACTCAGATAAGACGGAACGATTTGAGGATTGAAAATGCATTTGTGTACGATTGTCAAGACTTTAAAAATCACTCGAGATTTTATGGGCAACCAATGTAGATCATGTAGATAAGGAGTAATACTCGTTGACTTCTTCAAACCGAAAACAAATCTGCAGGCACTATTTTGGACTTTTTGCAACTTGTAGAGCAGATAATTTGGTAAGCTCGAGTACAAGCTATTGCAGTAGTCTAATCGACTTAAGACTAGCATTCTTGCCAACATATTTCTATTTTCAAAATCAAGGTAGAAACGTATGCTGTATAGTTTCCGGAGACTGTGGTAACTGGCGCCACACACGGAATCGATCTGTTTTTTCAATGACAAGGATCGGTCAATGAGGCAACCTAAAGACTTCACAGAGTTTTCTGTTGATTTCATCAGCTTAACCGTTGAATTTCCAATGAGTAGTGAACTGTTTGTTAGACCTTTTGACTTACTAGTGGCTATGTTAATTACTTGGCTTTTTGATTCATTTAACATAAGCCCCATGGACGAAAACCAGTTCGAAATAATAACCAGAGATCTTTCTATTTCTGCTAATTCACTCTCATTTTTAATTTCACAGTATAAAGTAGTATCATCGGCATACACTTGGTATGAAAATTTAGTTGAGCCAATAATATCGTTCAATGGTGTCAGGTAGATTGAGAACAGGAGGGGTCCCAGAAGAGAACCTTGAGGCACTCCAAATTCGAGTTCTTGAGAATTCGATAAAACATCATTGATAGCAACAATTTGAGTCCGATTCTCTAGATAGGAAAGAATTAGATCCACTGCATCATTCGTCATTCCAATCCGATTTTTCATGATCTTTCTCAATGTTTTATGATCAATGGTATCAAATGCAGCTGAAAGGTCAAGGGCTATCAAAATGACCTGTCTCTTGTTGTCGAGACTAGTCAGTAGATCATCTGTAGTTTTTAGCAGAGCCGTTTCAGTTGAAAAATGCTTCCTGTAAGCAGATTGGTGTTCATCTAGAAGATTATAGGAGCTAAGGTATTGATCGAGCTGTTTATATAAAATTCTTTCAAAAACTTTACTGATAAACATCAGATTCGCTATTGGTCTATAAGAATTTAAAACGTTTTGGTCAAGTTTGTGGTCTTTTAAGAGAGGAGTTATCACCGCTCTCTTGAGACATTTTGGAAGTTTGGACTGATCGATGCAATTGTTCATCATAATGATGAAATAATCTTTCCACGAGTGTGCTATTCTTTTCATATCTATCGTTTTCAGTATATCTTCTCGTGAGTTCGCGTTTGAAACCATTCTTACTGCTTCTTCTAGTTCATCTATAGTCACATATTGGAATTGGAAAGAAGAAACTGCAGTGAAAGCAAAGAGTGGCGGCGAGATGCCATTACTTTTAACATTTGCCACTAAATTTCTAACCTTCTGAATGAAAAATTGGTTGAAGTTTTCAGCTAATTCATAATCACTGGAGTATATCAGTGGTAGAACGTTTTGTTGTTTTTCTCCAGCAAGGCGTTTCAATTCACGAAACTTGAGCGAATGGCTATTTGAAAGCTCAAAGCGCCTGGAAAAATATATCAATTTCTTCTCTCTAAACAGATCTTTACATTTCTTTAAATACTCCTTGAAAGCTGTTTCGTTTTCTAATCCAGGATTTACACGCATTACGCGTTCTAATTTTCTACGTTTTCGTTTTACGTCTGCTAACTCTTTATCGTAAAAATTACAAAATCGGTTTTTGACAACTTTGGTCTTAGTTGGCACATAATCAGTTTTCAGCAGCTGCAAAATTTCGATAAAATTCTCTGCCATCTCGTTCGGGTCACTGGTGTTCAGATTCAAGATTAAATTCTGATCTATTTCCGTCTCTAAATGTTTCCAGTCTGTATTGTTCCAATCATAAATAGTCAATCTGGTTTTATCCTTCCGTTGAATTGCGATTTCATAAGTGAACGTCAATAGATGGTGATCAGAGTATTCAACGTGCTCATTTCTAACGGGTGAGCACAATTCCGGGTTTGAACAAATTATGAGGTCTAGAATTTTCCCGTATTCGTGAGTTGCTTTCTTAACAATCTGTTCTAGGTTATATTCCAGTAGAATCGAACAAAATGTATTGGATTTGGCACAACGTCTGTTTTCTAGATCCAAATTAAAATCACCCAGGAGGAGAATTTGGGTTTCAATTGCTGAGGCAAGAATATTTTCAGTCAATTCATTAAAAAACTCGTTATAATTTCCACTCGGCGGTCTATATATTGCTGCAATTGTTATTTTGACTTTTCTAGTCACGACCGTAATTACCAAGAATTCACCATCGTCCGAGAGATGGCTCAAAATTCTTTCACCCTGTAGTTCTTCGCGAGAAATTATGGCAACACCTCCACCTATTTTAGCCGTTCGTGAAACATGATGATATCGATATTCATTTGAAGAGTCTATACACTGATTTAGAATATATTCCGTATCCGGCTTAAGCCAGGTTTCAGTAATGATCAAGATAGCAACTTGTTCTGTAGCCAATATGCTCTGTATTTGATTTACTTTTTTCGCTAGAGAACGTATATTAATTACACCAACTTTCATAGCATTCGATTGAGACTCGGCTTTTTTGTTTGATTTTAGTCAGTCGCTTTTCAAAGTTCTGAGCCAGGTTCTGGCTTCTGCATCAAGATAGTACCTGTTTATTACAACATTTTCCGGCCAAGAATTAGGTTGATCAATGATTGTTGCATGTTCGCCGTCAAATACACAGTGGAAACTTTTGTGGCGAGAATTTTCCTTTGTTATTTCCCTGATATGATTCAGAGGAAATCCTTTACTTTGACACCATGCGACTATATCACTTTCATCATTTGTCTGTTTTATTCTTCCAACATAGAGATGGCGTCGTGGTGGTGGCTTCTCTACACCTTTGAGTGCTTCTGTTACCACTTCTCCCGTAATTAGTGGTTTCTTTGGTCTGCGGTCATTTCTATCTTTGGAGCCTTTTCGCTTCGTAACCCTCGAGCTACCAGCTTCTGAGGATACACTTTCACGAGCATTTCTGATGAATGCCGAAGAATTCAGATTAAACTTCGCTGCCCCAGCATAATTGGTTTTGTTCTTTTCAATTATACTACTTGGTTCACGATATTGCTTCAGCGATAGCAGCTCAGACTTTAATTCGTGTACATCTTGCGCCATAGTCTTTATTGAGAACAGTTCTTGTCGCAGTTCATCAATAACTCGGAAAAGATCTCTTTTACAGGTTCCACAATCTGGGCAACTCCATTCAATGTGCCCAACCACCTTATCGGCAGTGTTGAGGCCAATACACGCAGAGTGGGCAGAAGCTTGACAACCGACGCATTTCACCGATTGATTGGTTAAAGCGTTTTGACATACTGTACAGTGGAGAGACGACATATTTCAATTGTCTTGCTGGGAATTATTGGTCGTTTCCGCTCTAAAATGAGCTGGATTTTGGTAGATTTGTTTAAAGATATTTCCAAATTCTCTTTGTCATTCCCGCTCTAAAATGAGCTGGATAACATCCGGGAATTTGTTCGTGTCTTTTCTGGCTGTCGTAACCACTCTCAAATGAGCTGGTTTATCTTCTTTATCTGATTCTGTTTGTGTCAATTTCGATTTCCATCAACCGGATCTCTAAAATCCCTTCGTAGACAAGGGCTACCCAAGATAAGATGTTAATCCGGTTCGTCGAGACATATCTATCTATTTAATAAGTTTATCACAACAATTAGGCTAATAACCTTAAGTTACTGCTTTGAAAATTGATTGAGCTTAAATTGGGTTTCAGATTTTTCTTTTGAATAGTTTTCAGCTGCTAGACCTTTTTTTTAGTTGCAGATTTAGAATAATAATAGAGACTCTATACAATATCGAGCTTAGGCGAGCATAGTGTAATAGAACGACTTTCCTTTTTTTGCCAACCTAAGTCGCAATTTTGGTGCCAGTTTTTTTGTGGCTGGTGTTAATAAATTGTAAAGGGCACTTGGCGCAGATGCGAGGACAGGGGGTGTGTGTACGTCATTGTGCGTGCTTGCAATCATGTAGCTACGCTTTTATGCATTTATTTCATTTACTTATTGTTCCGATTTTCGATACGAAAGTAACGGAATATTTGTGCTCGGGGTGGGTTTTTTTTTCTTCAGACAAATTTCGACTTTTTAACTAGCCATTTTTGACGGAATTTTATATCATTCGAAAGCTATTGTTCTCCTGAGCTCAAATTTGAAAAGATATTTCACCTGTGATCATTTTTCGTAAAGTTATGGGGGTTTAAAGATTGCCATTTTGGCCAATTTGGGACAATTAACGCGCGATATATTTCGCGCTATTAACGCGTAAGCGGAGATTTAATCCGTCTTAAAATCGTTCCAAATTGGTTGAAAGAAGCTTATTTGCCATAATTGATTTGTTAAAAGGAGCTAAATTTATCTTTTTGTACTTTATATGGCGTGTGGGGGGATGATTTTCATAAAAAAATTTCAAATTTTAGAAAAATTTTTTTTTCATTTTATTTTATTACATTTAATTTTTTAATGTTATTACTGCTTCATAAAAGCTCAAAAGGCAGTCGGAACATTCAGGGCTTTGCCCTGATACGAGCAGTCTTGTTTGATTAATTGTAAATTAACAATGGTTTTATTCATCGAATAGAAGAAAGTCTATAACTAATCTGTCATTGCGTGTTTTACTTGTTCACTTGCCACTGACTTGACTCATTCACGTTCATGCAGATTTTCACGTTTCAAGCTATTAACGGTATTTCAAATCAAAAGTATTACTGTTCGAAAGCGTTAAAAAAATATGAGACCATTGCCAGCCTAAATTTTATTTTCACCAAATGTTTTTACAGATTCAAACTCAGGGTGCTTTGGGGAGTCTTCTGATATATAAAGTTGTGGTAAAATCTGGAATCAGGGTAGCTGAATTTAGCCGGCGATTGCTACATGCCAATCAGTTTTGATGGCTCTTTTTTTTTCGTTTTCCCCCATAAAATTGTTATTTTCAGATTTTTCCTCAAATCGATTGGCCTGAATTTTCTGATTTTTGTCGCCTCTACTACCCGAGAGCAACTAAATTTTTTTAAAATACGGATCGAATATACTTGAAATCAGTTAATCAATGATCATTGATATTTTCTATAAAAAGGACTGCGTGATCGAAAGCTTTCTGCAATAAAAATAATTCTAATGGTGGGCATGTAGCGAATGATAAAAGCACCTTTTTCATTCCAATTACCAAAAAATACTGACATCCTTGAAATTGTTGATTCAAACAATTAAAAGAAATACCCTCTTCCTCAGAATTGCTGTGAGGGAAATTGCGTGGGTTTTTTGTATTTTCATTTTGCGTAGGATAACATATCACTCCTAGTGTTCAGTTCTGAGGCTGACTTTTTTATCATCGACAGTGCCACGAGTTTTCATTCTTTGTAATCGTTGGCTTAGATAAGTTAAGAGAGCAATAGGTGTTCTAAATGTGAGATAATAATATATTTTTCAGAACTCTAACTTGATAAAAACTAAAGTAATTAAGATGTTCATTCAAATTATTATTTTTTCGAGCTTCCGAAATTTAGTATTCGCCATATTTTTAAATAGAAATACGCGGTTTGCATCAAATGGGAACATAGATTTGTTCGTGTAAACTACTAACGAATCGCTGAGTCAACTGACACATTATCATTTTTATTTTGGGCATCTGGTCTGGAGATGATGTCCATGCCTGGAACTTCGATGGTCGAGAGTTTGAATCCGACCAGAACCTATTAGTCTTTCCAAGCTGAAAGTTTTCGGCTTGAAAAATAAATGTCAGCCTGTCATTTGTCCTCTTAGTTTTAGTCGCCACGTCATTGGGTTTTCTGAAGATTGAAGACTTTTTTGTTATTTTTAAAATTGTTTTGATATTTTTTAGTGTAGGTTATTGAATTCGAAGAAATTTCACTGATTTTTGTAAATTAAAAAAAAACCTGATATGCGGTTTTAGGACTATTTTTTTTTGAGTTTTTGGGATGTATTTTCATTATTCACTCAGTCAAAAAATTGAAATGAATGGAGTTTCGTCTTTAAATTGTATACTTGCCATAATCAAATTGTTTGCAATCATGATTTTCTCTGATAGCTTTTTTTAAAATCTGATTTTCCCGTTATTCACTAATGACTCCTTCGTCTGACTTGATGTTGTCAAACGTGCTTAGAGAATGGCTGGATCTTGTCTACTCTTTAAATCTCTTATAGTTTTGAAAAGTGTGGCAGTTTTTTTGCGCTCATTCATTTTTTACGCCTGAGCACGCTGGTAAATATTTTTGTATCGCAAGTGATGTGAAGCATAGTATTAACGTGGCTGTCTAAAGAGTTTATAAAGAGATTAAAATGTATTCAGAGTTAAGTTAACTAAACGAACAGTGAACACATACGAAACTAAACAGTAAACTGAAGGCTGTTAAATTTTCATAAATTTTAACTGCAAGTGGCTCATTAAATTGCTTTGATGCAGATTATAAATATTGGCTAAAAATGCACTAATGAGCAAAAAGTTGAAGAAAAGCAGCATAACAGCATTGGCTGCAAACTTATATGACTCGCAATGTCTGTAATACGTGTTGAGACAAAAACGAACAGTTGGTGCTAGTTACTCGCAATGCTACTTCATTACAATAAGAGGGTCGAGTAAAAGTATCATCTGAGATCTCGCTCATTTGACCCCTTATATATTTTAGCGATTTGTCTGCTATATAGCCAGCTTAGAGGATTACTTTGATTTTCAGTAATGCATTCTCTCTGTATGGTTTAATGCTTGAGCGTAACAGAGAATATTGTGATTAATTTCTTGGTTTATAATGTTCGTGGCATCGTTGACATAAGTTCGGATTAGGTGGTTGCATATTTACTCGTGGCCTGTTTAGAGCGCGCTTGTTGTTTACATTCGGAGATGACTTTTCCACATTGAAGGCAAATCGTGTTCAGTTTGGTAAAGTGGCGTCTTAACTTGTGCCTATCAGTCTACGGCTAATTACTTTGACCTTGTGATTTTGTTAATTAACGGTTGATAAAGAACAAATTATGTAAAGGTTATTAAAGAGTGGCAGATAGTTTTGGTCATGACGATAACCCAGTGGAAGTCGCATTTGTATTCATTCGCAGTGCTGTGTTTTAATTGCCAGTTAAATAGCCAATGGTTTGCTGAGTCAAACTCCAATGTCATTTGCGTACAGGTTGGTGATCATAAGTCAATTCTTTCAGCCAATCGGTTGCGTAGTTGTTTACCTTTTGTTTTATGTTGTGTTTTGTTATTTCAGAGAATTAGATGAGACACCACTGGGGGGCAGTTTGCGAGCTTACCTGTTCGAAGAAGGGCGTGGCCAAAATTGCACGTTTCATTGCCTGTTCGATTAAATCAGCAGGCCCTCAAATGTAATACATGGAGATGTAAAGCTACTTCGGAAATCAACGACTGTCTTTTTTGTCGATTGGTGAAAGTTAAATACACCTGTTATATCAACTATAATATTACCTTTGACTCGATATTAGCTGCGCTAATTATCTGATAGAAAAAATTGTGAATGTTTATCTTCTACCTGGAATTTTCTGCAAGTTGTTTCCAGCTGATGAGCGCCGAGTGTCCAATCAGCATTCGTCTAATATTTATCAGGATCAGCAGCCGTAATTGACACCCAAGGAGAGGAGGGAGAGCAAATCCATCGCCCCTGATTTATGTCCATATCGGCCACTTCGTCCCACCTGTACAACTCGCCTCTTCTCAACAACCTATCCTACCAGCAGGTCACCATACTTCTTCTCTTATTACGTCTTTTTTATGTATTGTTTGTGTTCTTTTCGCTTTTGCTTTTCTTGTTTGTACTGCCATTTTCTGTTTTGCATATTTTTCTTTTGGCTTTATTTTATGATTACCATTTCCCTCGCAAGACTTGCGTGGAGATTTTTTGCCTTACCGGAATTCGCATCTGAGATGCCATGTGCTTCATAATAAATTCCAATCCAATAACAATTTATGCATGTTCAGCTTCGTTATAGGTGACGCCCATGCTTGGGACGACAAAAATGCTGAGTTTGATTCCGACCGGGAGCCGATTTTTTCAAATTGAGTACTGTAAAAAGTTTCTTGAAAATACTATTGCCGGTCTATCGTTTGTCTAATTGCTTTTATCGCTTTACTTTTAAAAATTTGGACTTGTTTTCTGACTTAAATTGTTATTGGATCAGCAGGCCCTCAAATGTAATACATGGATATGTAAAGCTACTTCGGAAATCAACGACAGTCTTTTTTGTCGATTGGTGAAAGTTGAATACACCTGTTATATCAACTATAATATTACCTTTGACTCGATATTAGCTGCGCTAATTATCTGATTGGAAAAGTTGTGAATGTTTATCTCCTACCTGGTTTACTCCTCGTTTTTGTTATTGGATTGGATGCGATAATAAAAATTGATTTTGATTTGTTCCTGCTTTAATTTTAAGGTCTATGATTTTGTATTTTTTTTTTCGTTTCAGAGGTTTCTTGGACTTTTTGTTTATTTTGCATCGGTTTAGTTGCCTCATAATCAGGGCTGTCATATTGTTAACTAAAACGTTTTTAACATGTTAACATGTTAATTATATGAAAAAAACACGTTAAAAACAAAATTGAGTTTTAAAATCACTCATTGAGTTGTTTAAAGAGAAAAGCCAGCTTTCCAGCCTTCTCGACGCCCAAAGAACTTCGGAGTTTTCCATAAGTGAGTCCGAGAGTTGAGAAACACCGCTCCAATCCTGCACTGGAGGAGATAGCATTGGCCAGTGTCGATGCATAGTCGACCAATTCTTTCGAGAATCCCAGTCGAAGTCCACTTCTCCACCAAGCTTCACTCTCGACCTTTTTGTAACCCTCAGCAAAAAGGTATTCGTTATAGGGAGGAACTTTTGCCATGTAATTTGTGAGCTCCGGCATGATATTTTCACCAGCCGTTTCACGGATGTAGTCGATGGCTTGTCTTGTTTCATCCGGATTCTGGTCCTCTCCGGCATACTTGTGATCGAGCAAATTAGCCGCTAGGACGACGGGTAGAATGGCCTGCTGAACTCGCTTAGCGACGGCACTTGCATACTGAATTGGTGCTTGTCCGGCAACATTTTTCCAGAGCTTGAATGTTTCCGACAAAGTGCAAGAATTTTTCTGCAAATTGTCCAACGTAACCCCGACTGATTTCATGAACTGAAGAATATCTTCTGCAGATCTCTTCAGAGATATTTCTTCCATATGACGAAATACCATGTCGGTATTCTTCAGATGCTTGTTCGCTATTTCTGCAAGCATAAGCCAGTTCTTCTGGAAGTATTCGATTGTGTCGATATTGCTGTTCCAGCGAGTTTCGCAAGGTAATGGAGGTCGAGTCATGTTGTTCTCCACAAGGTCTGCAGAACATGCATGGGTATTGCGAACCCATTTGAGGACAGTGATGATCTTTGTCATAATTGGCTTGATATCTTTCTGACAGAGAATGTCTTTGGAAAGTAAGTTGGCGATGTGCGAGTGACACCCATAAGTGTGAACAAGTGCTAATTCTCTGCGCATTGCATTCATGTTCGCTGCATTATCCGTGACAACGCTAGTCACATTGACCTCGAACTCCTTCCTGACATGCTCCATCTGCTCACGCGTGACTTGAACAAGATATTCTGTTGTGTGACTTTCTCCAATAGTACTCATCGTGTTCACTAGATAACATTTGCCACAATGATAAAAGCTGACACCGAGAACAGGTTCATTGGTCAATGTCGACCAACCATCGATAGCAAGTGTGACGTTGGAGCCCGACACCATTCGCTTCACTTTCGTTTGTTCACTTGCATAAATTTCGTCCAGTAACTCTCCACCAATCCTTCGGCGATCTGGAACAGTTGTTCCTGGTCGCAGAAATTGGACAAGCTTCGCGAGATGCTTGTTTGACGCGGCATTAAACGGAGTGTTGGTTGCGATGAAATATCGAGTCACAAGGATATCGCTCTCATGCTGCCTCGTGGGATTAGTGGAGATGACATTGAGAGCTGTCTGTCTCTTCTTTGGAGCCGGCGGAGCAGATGATGTTGTAGTGGCAGAAGATGTGGATTGCTCCTGGATGTCATCGTCATCGTCCACATTCCGGCAATCCCTCATGTGCTTCTCCATGCGTGCCGCATTGTTCACAACCTCAAAACCGCAGGTCTTGCATTTGGCCCGTTTAACGCCGCCAACGATAATCTCTTTGAAGCTGTACCACACGTCTTTCTTCTGCCGCGGCATGACACAATCTGAAATAAATATTTGTTAGTGTATGACGCATGCTGTTAGTACATCATGTGTTAAAAACAATGGTACCAATAGGTGTTATTAACATGTTAAATATAGGTCTGTTAATAACACCTTGTTAATAACATGACAGCCCTGCTCATAATACATTGTTTGAATGACAAAACTAATTTTTAAGCGTATTTGCTCGGGGCATTTTAATTGTTTGAATTTTAACAAAAATTTGTGGCTGATATTCAGAACGATATTCACAGGATTCTTATCCGTTGCGTTTACTCCTCGTTTTTGTAAGGCTCTTTTTTCCACTTTGTTCAGGCTGCTTTGCGTTTGCTCAATCCTTTTAAAACCAGGGCGACTGGTTTTATTAATGAAATTGTTTTCAGAGGAGCGAACTTGTTCAATAAAGTTTTGAAAGAATGATTTAAGTTAATTAAAAGCCGAGTCATTAAAATCTTTTTTCAATTTGTTTCCAAATGATTGACTTTAGAAACTGTATCTCGAAAAAATAGTTTAAAAAACCGTAAACAAACTGAAAACAAAACTGTTTCTTGAAGTAAATATAACTGGTCTTCTTTGGAATGCTTTTTTGGCTAGTCAAATAAAATTGGGTAATTATCTGAAACGGTTGAGTGTTTCCAAACTTTTGCCCTTTGATTTTTTTCTTTTTGGTATTAGAAATAATCGATACATGTTGATCATGTTATTAATAAACGAGCTATTTATGACCCAAAGCATTTAAAATCTTTGGACCTTAGAGCGTAAGATAATTCTTTTTGAGTTTCTCTGATGCTATTCTAGTTTTTTTCTGATGCCCTGACGGTTTTGTATAATTGATTGATTGTAAACGTTAATCAAGACAGCTGTAGCGTTGTATTTTTTTCACCTAAACTTATTTTATTAAGCCATTTTTCACCTAAACTTATTATGTCAATTGGAGACTCAAGACTCAAAACAAATGCTTCCAATTCTTTAATGGGAGGTGTCAAAGGTTTTTTATTTTAAGATGTAGAACGGAAATTTTATTCATAACATTTTAAATACAGTGAGATAGATCGTTAGCGCTGACATTTTGACGGAAGATTTAACCGTTGTTGATGGGTTTTGACCTTAAATCGTGAAAACAGTTCATGATATCAGTCATTTGTTGGCCAAGAATTGAAGCGCCGTCGTAGATATTATGAATTTTTTCAAGTTTTGTCGTAGTTTTGAAACATAGAAAATTGTCCAGGTTGAGCTACTTCGGTTGACAGTTTTTATTTTTTTCACAATTTTCACTCTTGCTCTGCTGGTATATTCGAATACTTTGATCTTTGCTGTGTTTTTTTTTCTAGCTAGATACGCTTCTTCCACGTGATTTCGGCAACTTGCCTTGAGAATTTCGAAATGATTGGTCTGATTGATCCATTGTAGGTTAACTTGTAGAAACTTATTGTCTTTTCTCAAAAACTACCCTCCTAAACTGACATTTGTTAAGTTTGTTAAAATCAATTGTGTGAAGCTCGCTTGCATGAGTGGCTACTCCCAAATACTTCCAAAAAAAGTAATGGTCCTCGGAAAAATTAAATGTTTGATTTTTTGACCGTGTTTTTGAACTTTTCGGTTTTTCTCGAAAACTACCCTAACAAATCTGAGGGTTTGATTTCAATCGATGGAACAGGTTGCTTGGAGCTCCTCTATACTGCTTTGCCGAAATATAGTAACACAAATAAATATGGCCCTTGGAAAAAAAAACAGATTTTTTGACCGTTTTTTAAAATTATTTGACTTTTCTCGAAAACTTTTGTCCCAAATCTGAGCTTTTACGATCAATCAAAAGAAAGGGTTGAGAAAAGCTTCCTTGTGTAAATGACGACGGCCAAATTTCCTCATAAAAATTTTTGGCCCTCAGAATAGGCATTGTTTTCATTTTTGGCCGTTTTTGAAATTTTGTGACTCTTCTCAAAAAAATACTCAGCCGAGTCTGATATCAGCGGTTTGATCGAGGCAACAGGTTTTGGGATGCCTCCGTGCATAAGCGGCAACGCCTGAAGATTTGTTTACTAAAATGTTGTTTTTGGGAAAATTACTAGTTTTCAAAAAGTTTCGTTCCTATTTTATTAGAGAAATAGCCAAGGTTTCGGGTGAAGCCCAATTTTTGATGTATTGAAATGTATATCCAATACAAAATTATCAAACAGGCACCTCCAGCTTTAGCTGCGCACCTAGTTTCTTTTGAATTCAATATCTTCTGAATTGTCTATTTGAGTTATCGCTGGTTGTTTCACTTATGCCCAAAATTTTTAAGCTCTCCCATCTATTGTACGACTCAAGTTGTTTGTCTCACATTATGTTTGTAACGTGCTTTTTAGCTCGCTGCTTTTATGTTCTTTTTTTCTCGATTTTTGTTCTTGAGGGTTGCACATTTGACTCGTATTGCTGTTGCTGTAACTGCTTGTCTGCTTGTAGTTCTTTCATCATGGCAAGCTTTCTGTTTCGTTGATTGTACTCAGGACTGCCTATGATCTTTTCGAACTGGAACTCGCTTTTGGTAGCGGAGTCTGATCTGGATTCGCAGGTTCGGTGGATTGTCGTCAACTACGTTTGCGATGTTTGATACTTCGAATTGCTCCTCAGTTTCAATTGGCGCAGTTGAAATAGATATCTGCGTCTCTATTTAATACGTTTATAAGAACAATTAGGCTAACTGTAGTTACCGCTCTTTTTTGAAATTTTCTCCTTATTCAATCGTCGTTTTTTGAAAAAGATCAACAGGAAATATAAACAACAAAAATTGCAAAAAACGAACAACAAATTTTGTCAGGTAACAAAAGTTGAAGTCATTTTGACAAAAAAAAGCCTAACTCATGTCTTGTCCATGAATTTGCTGCTGGATAAGATAAAGATTTGAGATAACAACATTTATAGTTGATTAATCGTTTTGCGCGCCATAATGAGTAATTTGTTTGTTTAGGCGCCTGTTATTAGTCCAAGTTCGAGCTCACCCGCGGATGTGCTTCAGAGTCCGTGCCGTGGAGGAGATGCCCCTTTGACACGCCTGTCGCCACTAGTCACTTCCTCTCAATCCTCGGCGGAGACCTACTCTAGCTCGGACCAATCTCACTTCGGACTCGATTTGTCGCCCTGTAAAATGACCAGTGGACCCATCGTGGAGAACAGTACACTTAACATGAATCCTGTTGCGAACGGGAACAACAACGAAAGGAATACTAGCAGCGGGTAGATATAATGAAAACATCCAATTAGTGACAGTGGGATTCTCTTGATTTTTTTGCAATAATTCGAAGCGTAATTACTTTGATTAAGGGACGTGTTTCTGTCATTAATTGCTGTTGTCCTCAAAAAATATGGAATGATGATTATTACTGAATTTCGCTTCAGTTGAAGAAAGTCACGATGTTTGCTTCAGATGCAACTTGTGATGCGATCAAGAAATGAAAAAAAAAGAAACATGGGATGTACTCGAAAGTTTTGAAAAGAAGTATAAACATATGCATAACATGGATAAAACGATTAATCACTACATACTGGGTGTAAATAAATACCATGTTATACAAAATATGAAAATAACAAACACAGTCTGTAGTGATTAATGCTTTTAGCCTAAACCGTTGGATGTTTTTGATAGAGCGGATGTGTGTCGATCTGACGCGAAGAACAACAATTCGCCCAATTGCTACCAGTCCTGTTTCTCTCCCTCTATGAAGAGACCGTCTCATCCTCATATTAACACCGACCTTAGGACGCCCTCGAGCGAGTTCGGGGGATCAACCATCGACACTGCCGGAACGCCAATTTTATCGACTGCGTTCTCCCAGAGCAGCTCAAGATCCAGTTGTGAATCATCCCAAATTGTCTCGTCTCAAAGTCTGGTTGCGATGTGCACCGCCTCGAGGACCTCGACTGTCGGGAGTCTGTTGACGAGTGCAGTTCCGTCGGTGACAGCAGCCGCTCAATCCTTGCAACCGAATTCATCTGACTCGACTATCACGATTAAATTGCAGCTGTATGGGTTCCAGAATCCGGGATCATTCACAGCTTCAATGTTAGTTGAAATTTTAGTGTTAAATTTGTGTAAATTGATAAAAGTTTTCTCGAATCGACGGAAGTATGAACGTTAAAAACCAGCCTGAATTTTGATGGGCTTTGTGCATTTTGAGAGTGGTCGGAACCAGAAGGTTCTTTCTGGTATTTTAAGAGATTTTGGTAAATGAGTTTTGTTGATCAAGTTTAAGTACATTTTTTCAGTTTATCTGAAAACCCGCAGCTCCTTTACTCGTTGAAATTTTTGATCCGGCATTGTAGTGGACGTCAACTTAGCCCCTTCATATTTTTCTGAAATGTGTGCAAATTTTTGTTTTCTGATATTTTGCAAAACAGTTTGTGCAATGTGTTTAATTGTGCTCTGCAGAAGGAGCTAATTTTTGCCCTATTTTTGAAAAGAAAAAATTTTTATAAATGTTTTACGAATTTTGCGATATTGCACTCTGCAATAAAAACTATGAATACTGGAACAAAAGAATTTGACCGACTTTTGGGCTCGATAATGGATGTTATTTCATAGAATTTCCAGCAAAAATGTTATTTTGAGATCCATGTATGATGTCAAGTTTTGTCATTTGAAAAATTTATTGGAAAAAGATGATGAAATATTCTCAAGTTTTCCCTTTGAGACGTCAAGGGTTTTTGTAATGGTTATTTGAACATAAGTCGCTTATTAAATTGCTTTTTTTTCTGTTAAAAACTTTCACGATTTTTTTTGCCCTTGCGATAAGCAATGGTATTTTGCAATCTGGTACAAGACTATTTCTCTGCAACCAGCTTTCTTTTTGGGGAATCTATTTCTGAACTTATTAATCGCCTGGTTTCTCTCTGTTGGAAATATTGCAATAGACATGTTTTGGGCATGCTGGCATTTTAAATAACCGTCCTTTTCGAAATTTGCTTTTTAGTTTGGTTGTAATGTTCTCAACTTAATTTTTTATTTCATTTTTTTTTCTCGATTTAATAGGTTTTGGCCCGTTTTATATCGGCTTGTTGGCCTCATATTGCGTCATTTGATGAGCGTAAAAAGTTTTGTGTGATTGTGTTTAATGAGGAGGATGGGGCTTTGAAATTGTTAGTCGTTTTTGAAATTGTTAGTCGTTTTTGCTCAAAGGGTTTCTGCTAATTTATTTTTGGCTCTATTGCCTTTTGCTAAGTTTTCTTTTGATTCAATTTTTTTCTTTTTTGTCTTGGTGTTTTTTTGAAAATTTTTGATAGATCTAGTATTTTGATTGATCTAGTTTTTCGACATTTTCGAAACTGATTTAATTTTTTTTTCGATTTAGCAGCTTTTTTGTATTGTATCGCAAGTGGAGCGAAGCTCGGCTTCACATCTGTGTTTAATTTCTTAGCATAATAAGTTACAGCTGCTATTTTGATTTTGTGGAGTAGTGGTGATGCTTATGCTAGGGACGTCAAAAGTCATCAGTGAAATCTGGCCTGAAAATTATCTGCTTGCAAAAATTTAATTGTCAGAAGATCGTTTGCATGCTAATTTTTGTCAACCTAGTTTGTACATGTGAAGTTTTCTTCTAATTTTGACTATAAATGACAGCTATTTCATTTTTTTTCCTAAAATTTTTATACTTACGATTTGATTTTTTTCTGCTCAGATGAAAAATTATGAATAGAATTATGTCTCACATGATCTGAAAGTATAATTTGTCTGATTTCATATTTTGAGAAAAAGGTTCCTCCTTTCACAAAGAATTCCATTGTCGGGGTTGAGTTTGTCAAATCGGCAACCTTAAATGTTCCAAGTAAGTGTTAACCTCATCGAGTATCAGAATTAAAGGTTAATTCGAGTTTTCACTGCTCAGTGTTGCGAGCTCGAGAAGAGTCGAAGTTAAACGTAGACGATGCAATTTTCTTGCCTAAAAACTGTTTTGTTTCTGATTGGCTCTAATATAGTTATTTTGTTTTTATTAGATTAAGTGAATTTTGGGCTGGTTTTCGTCGAATACTGATTTCTAATTGACTAAAATTTTTACATTTATTTAATTGATCTGGTGAAAATCATGCCCTCTCAATAGAATTTGGGGATATTTTTTGATTTTAATAGACTAAAAGGGACGAACCGGTGGGAATTTGTCTAAGTTTGTAAGAATTTGTAATAAGCAAGAATTTGTGTAAGCGACAAAACGTGTATTTAACGACAACTTGTGCTCTTGTGCGTTTTAAAGCTTCCCTTTGCCCCTTTCTCGCTTGTGTTTGCGAAGTTGCAGCTTCGCCTGTGTCAATAAGTGTGACTCATAAAAGATTCTTGAAATTCGAATTTTTTTGTTTCTTTTGCTGTCTAGAGCTTTGACTATGTGTAAGGGTCAGATTCTTCTTTTTTATGGACATGCACCAAAATGTATTCTCAGTTTTTAAGTTTTTTTTGTAAGTTTGTTTTTCTTTGAAGCTTGAGCTCAGAAACTTTAGAAACTATATATACGGACTAGTGATATGAATGTTTTGTCCAGGTATGCACCGGACTGTGTGTTGCGTGCGGAGATGTTGGAGCCTGCGAAGTACTCGACGATGCCGATCACATTCTCCAATGTGCCATGTGATGCTGTGCAGCAGAACGCGACCTTCTCCAACTTCCTCAGTCCCACCGCCAGACACGAGTTCCTCAAACTACTCAACACAAGTCAGGCTTCTTCACAACCGTTTAGATTCATTTCTGTAGCCATATAAATGGCCAATTGAACATTTGGAACGTTTCAATTTTTTACCATTGCTTTAACCAAGTTAATTACAACCGGATACTAGACTTTTTCCGCAAAAAAACGGTTTATCAGGATAACTGAAATTGTTTTTCTCCATTTTAAACCTAGGTTGACTTAACATCTACATTTGGTAGTGTGTAGTTGAAATTGCATTTTTTTCCAGAAGTTGATTAAGAGTAATGCACGTTAAAATAATTTGATTTAAAACATAAAAACTTAGTTTTACTTGAGTAACGTTAGTTTAATTTGAGTATTTTAGCGCATTTTTGGATCTAAATTTGTGCAAAACTTGAAAACAATTTTTTTGATTTTTTTTTCTTTTTGTAAGTAACTTTTCTAAAAAATTGTTTTTGAATTTGCTTATTTTACTATGACTGTCGAATATACCTAGTCTTCAGTTTTTTTTTGTTAAGCTCTTTTTATCACACCACGCCGAAAAAAACGACAATTATTTGAAAAAAAAACTTTGTTGTATTTATTGAGACTGGTCGGATTATTTTGTGACACTTGCACAGTAACCGGCTATCCTTGTTTAGCTTGCAAACGCTGATTAAGAATGCGAACTTAAAAAAACCAAAACGGCAAAAGGTTAAACTGAGCGGAAGACTTATCTGAAAAAAGGAAAAAACACGAACTATTCAAGTGAAAAGACAATTCGTATTTTCACGCTTGGACTTCTTTTAACGCTTCTTTAGAGAAAAATGGAAGTAATTTTTTGTAAGCTGTGAATTTCAAAATCATAGTCGTCCACATTTGAAATTACAGGTCCAAATTTGAAATTATAAGTCCACATTGAAAATATAATACCATAAAATAAACTAAAGCATCAGAAAAGGTTGCAAGAAGTATTTTCAAAAAACAAGGACAGCCGGTTGCTGAGCAATAAGCACAGAATGTTCCGACCATATTCTTGAAAAAAAAACTACAAATTTTTTTAAAATTTAGTTTCAATTTTTTTTGCGTAGTGTGAGGGAAAGATCTGAACGAAAGACTATATTTCAGACATGCCGATATTCATATTAAAATAGGCATTTAAGAAAACTGTTTTTTTTTCCGAAAATGATCAATAAAAAAACCAAAAAAAAAATTTTTACAGAAAATTTTACTTATTTTATTCCCAAAATAGCGCTAAAAAACGTTGAGAACTAACTAAATTTACTGAAATTTGCAGGGCTTTGATAAAAAAAGTCAAGTGTTATTTACCATTCACTCGCGACTATCCTTCTATTATACTAAATTGGACGAAAATCAAAAACTTCAGTCCGGTTTTTCTCGACACTGGGACAATTTTTTGTAAGTTTTTAATATTGTTCGAAGCCTGACTGAAAGAGAGTTAATATGATATATCTTTCAACACAGTCCCTAAGGTACCTGAGTTAGCGCGTAAAACGGAAAAGAGACTTATCTTCCGTTGCAAGATAATTCATCAGACAAAAAATGGCCCAATAAATAATCAACAGTGGGATATGTACTGAAATCAGGTAGTTATCCTTGCAAAAAAATTGCATGCAAAAATATATCCAAGCTCGAAAAGGTTTACTAAATTAACAACAGAAAAGTCAGTTCCCCCTGACAAGATACTTGCTATCGCTGGAGTAATCAAAATGGATATTACGATAAAACTTGGGTAAACGGCCAAGGTAATTGCGCAGCTTCAGCTTTCAATCATAAAAGATATGCAAAATATAATTAACAGAACGAACTTCAAACTGAGTTGACATAACTTGGTATACTCCACCTCTAGTGGCCAAAAAACTTCAATTTAAGAGTCCTAAAAATTGACAGCTTCTTCAAATAAAAGAAACCGACCACTCGGTATGTCCTCAAAACTTCAATGTCTGCTTTGGTTGATGATTAAAGTTTCAAGCGAAAATCAACTTGACACTCCCCTGAAAACTCAAAATTTACAGAATAACCACCGATGTACCGTTACAGTTTAAGTCTCACAAATAGATAAACTTTATCCCCTGGAATAAAATGTTTTTTTTTAAGATGAAAAAGTCAAAGGCAATAAAGCGTTGTAGAACCGAATGGCACAGAGAAACAGCATCGCGCGGGAAAATTATTCTGTGCTGCTTAACAGTCGGCAAACACTAGTCACAAATAAAGCAGCTACCTATGCTAAAGAACTGCCAATGCAATGGAGCAAACGTGGCACCAAATACAAATAGACACAATTATGCGTAAAAACAACTAGGGGGCCAGCTAAAGCTGGATATATGTGTTTCGTATTGAATGAATTTGCTATACTGATGCGGCACAAAAATGGTGATTTTTCAAAAATTGGACTTAGAGCAAAACCTTAGGTGTTCCCTATTAAAATAAATGAGAAAAAGTTTTTAAAAATTTTTGGGACAAACAATTTTCCCAAGGAGATGACATTGCTCTTACAAAAATTAAGGGGTCACCGCTTCTGCAGGTACCATTATCGCAACCGGTTCTTTCAATTGAACTTTTCATCTCAGATTTGATTGTGTAAATTTTAAGAAAACAAACAGTTTCTAAAAACCGGTCAAAAAGATTTCCAAAAAAGGAAAGAGCAGGTCATGGCCGCTGAAGCAGAGAAGATTCCCAAAACCGGGTTTCTCTATTAAACACAACCTGAGAATTGTGTTTCTCAGAAAGTCAAAGTTTGCAAAAAAAAACTTTACGTTTCAAAACTTCGACTTGTTTAAAGGCTATAGTTTTTTTCTTGAAAAAAAATGGGCATGGCCAGTTATAAAAGTAGGCTTTCAATAACCTGTTGTTTCGAATAAACCTATGATATCAGATTTGGAAGGATACTTGACGAGGAAAATCCAAAAAACGGTCAACAAATCAAAAAATTTACTTATCATAGAATCGTAGCCTTTCGTTTGAAAAAATAGGGCGTGGCCTCTTATGCAGAAGGGATTCACTTCAATTGAACCAAAAATTTCCGATTTGGGAAGGTAGACGTCAAGAAAAGCCAAAAAACTTTAAAAAAACGATCAGAGATCAAAATTTTGAAGTTTCCGAGGGCCATAGCGTTTGGTGTCGAAAAAATGGCGATGATAATATTCAAAAATGAGAAAATTGAGTTTTGGTTTCAATGAATTGAACGATTTTGAGAAACTCCTCAGCATAAGCGGCTACATCAATTTTTTTTTACTCTAAGTAATGGCCCTCGGAATAGTCAAATTTTTGATTTTGACCGTTTCGTGAATCTTGTCGACTCTTCTCGAAAACTAACTTCTCACATCTGATATTGTGGGTTCAATGGCGATAACGTGTAGTGAGATGCTCCCCTGGATCAGTGGCCACTGACAACTTTTTTTCAACAAGTCATCGCACTTGGAAAAAACGACCGAAAAAATCAAAAAATGAACTTTTCCGAGTGCGATAACTTTTTGTTGAAAAAAAAGTTGTCAGTGGCCACTGATGCAGGGGAGCATCTCATTACACGTTATCACCATTGAACCCACAATATCAGATGTGAGAGGTTAGTTGTCGAGATGAGTCGACAAGATTCACGAAACGGTCAAAATCAAAACTTTGACTATTCCGAGGGCCATAACTTAGAGTAAAAAAAATCCATGCAGCCGCTTATGCTGGGGAGTTTCTCAAAATTGATCAATTCATTGAAACCAAAAACTCAGATTTAAGAGTGGTAGTTATCGAGAAAACAAAAAAAAATCAAAAATAGTCAAATATTCCCCCACAGACTTTTCGAAGGGTACAGACAGAGAGGTCAAGTAAAAAGAGACTCTAGGGGAGTATGCAGGCACGCAGGGTAGTAGGTGGTTTGTCAATTGATACCCCTTTTTTTGTAAATCAGTAGAGGTTTTTTCCGAGAAAAGCTAAAATATTTGCTAAGTGAAAAAATTTTCCAAAGAAAAAATGAAATTTCAACTAACCGAGTGGTAAACATACAACCAAGTTGAAAAGTGCGGAGGGGAGTGTTAATATTGTTTTCCATGAACAGACCCAAAATAAGGTCTTTATGTTGATGAAAAATTGACCGGAATAATTTGGTCTGCGGATTAGCGAAACAAAAAATAATAAAGAAGGAAATACGAAGTCAAGGCAAGTAAAATTACAAATTGTAGGAGTAAATCAAACACCAAAAGCAACAATAAAGAAAAATTTAATCAGCTTAAAAAAAACGATTCCTGGATGTTACAACTAAGCCGACAACAGATAATCAGACAAATAATTGGCCGACAATTTTTTTAACCGAATATTTCCCGTTTGAAAAAAAAACACGTCCTGGTCAGACTTCAACCCAGGTCTTTTGTAGTGCCAGGCATATTAGTTACCTCCAGGCCAAGTTGACCGCGAAGGCTAAGACGTTTGAATTTGTTATAAAAGAAGGTACCACTAGAGATGAGTCCAGACGAGTCCTGTGAACAAAGTTATTTACGGAAAAAAAGTCTTTTAACCGATTGCAAGACCCTTGATTGTTGCAAGGGTAAATATAACAAACTGAAAGCATCCACACTAACTTAGCATGTGATTAAACGGGGCAATGATAAAGACACATTATGTAGAAAAATATGCATTTAAAAAAATTGCGAGATATATGGCGAGTTAGAAAGTTTCCGAAATCGAAATTGTCGTTATGTTATGCTGATATTGTTTGAAAGAAATAGATTTTTTCGGGTCATTTCATGAAGGAGAATGCATCAAATGAAATATTTTCGAATCTGAAATTACTGAATTTACTAATCGAATCTCAAAGCACATGCTATCAAACATTCACACCAATATTTGCGACTTAGATTACAAAAAAGAGATCAGTCGTACTATTACACTGCGCTGACTAAAGTTAGGGTAAAAACTAAAAATAGGGTAGAGCGCGGGTTGAAAACTTGAATGTGTTTTCGAGTCAGCTATTTTGATTATATCATTTGCGCTGCACGTTGTTGGTTTTTATCTTTTGGTTTTTTATTTTTTGAAAAGC